CCAATATGGTCTTTCCCCACTTACTCCGTGAATTTCCATCTTTCCAGCTATGCCCAACGCATGCCGATTCCCAGAACAATTTGGCTAACATCAAGCGTGAACAGGGGAAAATTGAAGAGGCTACGCGTCTTTATCTGAAAGCACTTGAGGTACATTTGCTTTTCTGTTTCTCAATGACATTAAGTCTCCTTCTATGCAGGAACTTTTCTGTCAACTCTGTTTTTCTTTTATTAGATCTATCCTGAATTCGCGGCTGCTCATAGTAATTTGGCATCAATTCTTCAACAACAGGGTAAACTTCAAGAGGCCATATTGCATTACAAGGTTAGTACCGCTTTTCTCGTTAAGCCTTTTGTTTTTCTGTATGCAGTATGTGTATCAAGAAGGTACATCTTTCGCTGCGGATGATGGGGCGTGTCAGTGAGGCTGAGTTTGGCGCGCCGCCAACCCGTTCTGCACGAATTGCTGAAGCGGATAAACGGCATAAATTGTAGGAAAACGACTGATATGAACAATGTGGTACAATCTAGTCAGTCTACTGTGGTCGCTTCCGTAAAAAAAAGCGAGTTGGCTGCCGGCGCCATAATTCCTGTCCCCATTGGCACGCCTATCATCCGCAGGTGCGAACCGAACCCTGTACGCAGCAATCGCTAGACATCGGGTGAAGGAAATACCGAATACAAAAATTGAAATAAATAATGAGGGAGCTTGTTAGTGGCGGGCGGGCCCTCGCTATAATTGGTATTTTCCTTCACTTACAGCAGACGATTGCGTATTTCCTAAGTGCGGTCTTCAGGAGGAGGTATTCAGACCGGAAAATCAAAATTTAAGAAAATTTGAAAGATATCTTTCCTTATTACGCTAGACTGACCGTGAGCTACGTGGATATCGAGAATTAGGGCAACCAGATCTTCAGTGATCCAGACGCTTGCGTTTTTTTTTTGAAATTTTTCTGAATAATGAGGGTTCATAGCTCTTCAGCGTACTGTGCTAGAATGACGGGTCCGATTCCAGGAAGCGATCCGAATTGCTCCGACCTTTGCCGATGCCTACTCGAACATGGGTAATACTCTGAAGGAAATGGGTGATGCAGCAAATGCAATGCAGTGCTATACTCGTGCCATACAAATCAATCCTGCTTTCGCTGATGCTCATTCAAACCTCGCTAGTATACACAAAGTAAGTAAGTACTTGGCAGTTGAAAACCCATTTTCCACAGCCGTCATCATGCCCGCTGTTAAGGACTCTGGTAACATTCCTGACGCTATCCAAAGTTACTCGACTGCTCTGAAGCTGAAACCAGACTTTCCCGATGCGTTCTGTAATCTTGCGCACTGTCTCCAGATCATATGCGATTGGACGGACTACGAAAATCGGTAAGAATGACTGGCGATGCAGTTTGCCTTGGAGGGGCATTTTGTTAGTTCGTGTCTGTGTTGTGACCTGTGAGCTTCAGTGAAGCTAATACAAACATTTATTTACAAATAGGCTAATAGCATTTAGTTAGTTTAAAAGAGTTTACACAGCTCATCAAAGTAGCTCGGCGAAGCTTGTTCCGTTTCGCAGCTTCACAAGGGTTTACTGGTCTCATCAAGCTAAGGAAACTGAATAACTAGCGGACTAACAGAATGCCCTTTTGCCTAAGGCGAACAGCGCCCGACTGCTCCACACTTCGCTTTCACTGAATGATCTAAATTTAGTATGAAGCGATTGGTGGCCATAGTAGACGAACAGCTGAGCAAGAAGCGCCTGCCTTCTGTGCATCCTCACCATTCTATGCTTTACCCGCTAACCCATCAGACTCGAATCGCCATAGCTGCAAAGCACGCCCAGTTGTGCACCGAAAAGGTAGGCCGTCATTTTTTTTCTATAAACGCTATGATAACGGACTTTGGCACACATCGGAGCCACCATTTTTCGCGACTCGCTGGAGGTTTTTTCTGGCCATGGAGTGCTTCTTCAAGACGGTTTTTCTGCATTGGATGGGAGAGGTTAAAGGGTTCAGCCATACAGGCATGGTCTTGATATCCCACTCCCTATCCAAGTGTTTTCTCAATCTTCCTTGGCATTTTCGAGAGGGAGTAAAAAACTGAATTTTTTTCTTCGCAGGTGTTTCTTCAAAATTCCAATTCTAAAAACCGTTTTGTAAATGAACTCCATGAGTGTAAAGGTCCTTCCAGTTGGATTTGTTCACAAATCCTGGCACTTTTTTACTCTTTAGCCATTCTTTCAACTGTAGTAGTTCAGGTGGCAATGTTGGGCCATGCACCGTTCAACTATCCAGATCGTTTGAGCGTTCGCAACGGTATCAGTCGTCTTCGTGTTGGTTATGTGTCATCAGATTTTGGAAATCATCCTACAAGTCATTTGATGCAGTCGATCCCTGGCATGCATGACCGCTCCAGGATTGAGGTACGATCCCACCGATATTGTCTCGGAAAACCGTAACTTTGCGAACATTCATTCTGAATAATTAATTAGAAGTAATATTACCATTGTAGACTGATGTGTGGCAACTTTTGGGAATAGAATGTAGTTTACGAACGAAGAGGTTGGGAATAGGGAGAGGTTATGCTTGAAATGGATTGTGACGTTCGTAACGGGTGTAATCGTACTTGAATAGCATTCAATGCGTCACCGCTCACCGTGGCGTCTTCAATAATTCAGGCAATCCTATAGTGTACGTATAGGGTGAAATATTGATAACAAAAAAAATCCTGTCCAGCGTATATCAGAAAACTATCGAAAACAACAGTTCTCGTCCTCTGTTTCCTTAACTTTTGTTTCGACGCTTGTTTTTTCAAATGCTTTAGCACGCATTTACTTTGGTCCTTACATCTCCCGTATTTTAAGGTGTTCTGCTACGCACTGTCTGCTAATGATGGTACTAATTTCCGCCAAAAACTAGTAAATGAGGCGGAACATTTTGTTGACTTGTCACAAGTAAGCTACATTTATAAATTAGAGTAATACTAGACAAACTTAGGCGTGGAATCGGATTTATATGCCACTTGTAGATATCGTGCAATGGAAAGGCTGCTGATCGAATAAACCACGACGGAATTCATATTTTGATCAACATGAATGGCTATACAAAAGGCGCTCGGAATGAAATATTCGCTCTGAGACCGGCTCCGATTCAGGTTCGCATATTTATACCTCGGATTCCGATTCTTTGCTTATCTGAATTTGGTAGGCGGAGGTGGTGTAGTGACAAGTGCGCGCTTACCACTCGCGCGGTCCTGGGTTCGAATCCCAGGTCGACACCCGCCCAGGCCAACCAAGCCTTCTACCCTCCGGGGACGGTAAATTGGTACCAGATTCGTCTGGGAGGATAAAACACTGACTTGTACATCGGCTGGCCCCGCAAGTCATTGTATAGGCCACATCGCATTCAATAAGCCACTACGATTCTGAATGGAAGTAGAATGCGTGCCGCATCCCACAGGGATTGATTAACGGCGAAGACTTTATCCTTTTATCCTTTTTATCTGACCAGGAAAGGTCAACGGGTCAGCCTGGCCATTTGCAATGAGATGCACATCACTGTACTCATCTTGACACGATGAACTCAGAACTGTCTTCAAAATTTGCAGAACGATTCTCTGAGCGGAGTTATGGAGGTTTTTCTTTACTGTTTTTCTTCTTACGGGCGCGCTGGCGCCGAAGCGTTGCACAGCACGACTCACAGCGGCTCTTCGCCGCAAAACCAGATATCATATTGGTGTTGAGGGGTCAAAATAACCGCCTAGAGACGTCGAACATAGCAAATCTGAGCTCTGGCTCAAACTTCGAAAAAATGGGGTATGGATAGTCATGGATGACTGATAGCCAACAGCGATACTACGGCTAGCCTACTGGTGACGACTGGTCTTCGAGCTGAAATAACTCTTCAATCATGTCTTTTCGCGAACAACAGTACCTGGCTTACTTATTTGTGCCGTCTGCATCATTTTCTTGACTATCGGGAGGAAATCCCATTCCGAGACCAGTCATCGATGGTAGGTGAGCTCCAATCTGCTGCTAATTACCCATGGAATAGCCCACATTTTCCAAGTGAGGTCGAAAATCAGATTCGGCTAGAAACTTGTCCCAGGGGTAATTTAACCCGCTGAACATGAATATGATGGTATTTCATTGCAAAAACCCTTGTGACACGTGTTACGAGGGGTACAAGCAGAAGCACTCTTCAGGCCACAATGGGTCTACACTTTAAAAAAAACTGATCGCAGGTTCCCCTGTAGGATAGTGCAGGCGAGCAGAGATTTTAGAAGCTTTGTCGGCTATGTTTTTGGACAAATGCAAAAAAAGGACCTGCCCCAGAACCGATCATGCGACGTCTCGCCTGAGGAACCCTCTCCCTACCCGTTGCGCTCTGCTGCCACGTTTCAGAACGACTCCATACATAAATGTAAAGACGCTTCCACGTTTCCTCGCGATAGCATGTGAAACGACCATGCGGGGATAAAACCCTCCATAACTCCGTTCAGAGAATCGTTCTGCAAATTTTGAAGGTAGATTTGAGTTCACCTGTCCCAAGACGCGTACAACGGTGTGCAGCTCATTGGAAATGGCCAGGCTGACCTGATGACCTTTCCTGGTGAGTTTAATGGGTAGATCTCCGCGTGTTTCTGCTTTCCTTATCCGCGTTAGCTCTTACGGAGTGCGGTTGTATACTGGATATGCTAACTACAGTGTGTGCGCGAGTTCAAGGCATCCGTGTCAGGCAGATATTGATGTCTTGTAGGTTTTGTAGCTGGTCGACTCGAGGCATTGCTAGTTGCTACGTTGCATTAATTGGGTCCTGGTGCAGATGCTGCGCGCGTGATACCTTTGACGCCTCTTTCGTCTCGCTTGTCAGAACGCGTATGTGCTGAACTACACGCTTCTTGAAGCGCGACCTCACGGAGGCATAGATTACACGAGGTGCAAACCACGATAGTGGATGCGTCCAGAATTTGCGTCAAGAAATGTTTGCGCATTGCTCCACCTGAATTTCCTGCAGAAGGAGTTGATATTGATTTTGTTTTGTAGTTTGTACAGATCGTTATAGCCCAATGTCAATGTCTGACGCTTGTCGGCTTATGCAGGGGCGTAATTTTCCTATTCCTAACTTTATAGTTCGATAATTCTGTCAGTAATAGCTGGTCTTCATAAAAGCAGCTATCAAGTCGACATTCAGGTTATGTGGCTAGGATATCCCGGGACTTCTGGAGCACCATTCATGGACTACATTATCACCGACGCTGTAACATCCCCGCTTCGGCTTGCACATGCCTATACGGAAAAGGTTCGTTTCAGACCTCCGTTATAATTTTGGCAGTTCATGATAGGTAATAATTACAGCTCGCTTACATGCCGCACACTTTCTTCATAGGAGACCACGCTCAAATGTTGAAACATCTAACGGAACGCGTCATTCTCAAGGTGAGACTGGAGCTTCAAATTTTTGCTCCCTGCTGCTGTTCATTGCTTAGAAAATAGTACTTATGAGACTTTTTGTGTATTATGTTAATGGAATGCTCATTATAGGACAAGTTGGCTCCCGCTGAAAGAGATAATGTTGCCGTCGTTAATGCAACTAACCTTGAACCGCTTTTGAGCAAAGCTGACGTCAAAGTAAGACCTAACCTGTTTCAGATGTGTCTTTTGAACGTTAGAAGTAATTTCATTTGAGCCCATTGTCGAGTATCACCATTGGTTTTAATCAGTAATGCCGACGGTTTCAGCACACAATACGGGAAACTGAGGTGGTTTACGGTCCTGCGAAGGAGAAGATCAAGACCGAGGTTGTGGTTCCAGTTGTAGAGGTGAGCTGATCAGTAGTGACCTTATTTCTTATAAAATCGATGGCATCACCTAATTGGTGCAGGTTCCAACGGCAGAACCTCTCAAGCAGATGATGGGTGGTAGCTTGATTGCAAGTAGTGTTGTTGATGGCGTTCATGTTCACAATGGTCTAACACAGGTAGAGGGATATCTCATTTAAAGCAGCTCACTTTGTGTGAACAAGTATTTCATTTTTGTTGTGAGTATGAAAATCAAATTTCAGATTCAAATGCATCATAAGGCAGCAACGGGTGAAGAGGTGCCACAGTCTCTTTTGTTGACTAGTCGTCAACAATACAACCTGCCTGAAGATGCTGTTGTTTTCTGTAATTTCAATCAATTGTACAAAATCGATCCGCCTACGTTGGACATGTGGATTAAGATATTGAAACGGGTGTGTTCCTTTTTCGATAAAACTTACTTTAATTTCACTCCAAAGGTTCAATAAGGTGGACTTTCGCGTCATGTTTTGCAATCTCTTCTAGTGCTCATTTCATCCTTTAGACACTCCCGAAAAAATATTTTTTACAGGTGCCACGCAGTGTCCTGTGGTTGCTTCGATTCCCATTCCATGGAGAAGCCCACATACATAAGTATTGTGCTGAACGGGATATCGACACCAAACGAATAGTGTTCAGCCACGTTGCAGCTAAGGTTCGATTAATTTCATATTTTTTTGTCGCTATGCACCTCTTTGTCACCTAACTATCATGACTTTCTATGCTCAAAGACGAACCTCGCGATTCTGTACTGTGGATAATGGCGTTCGGTAACAAACCCATAGACGTTAGCGGACTCTCAGCGTACGAAAAAAGCAGAGAAAAAAGTCATGGAGAAGACCCTGAGTAGGAACCGCCAACTTCTGTGGACGAGTTTTCCAGACCTGCTCGTTTCATCCCAGCAAAGACGATATCCTGCCACTTCTGACTCAGAAGTCGTTTCTTCGCGTCATCCAGTGCTATTGCCATCCAACAGTAAAAAAAACGTGTAAAATCTGAACTCGGGACAGAAGTTGCCCTCGAGTTTCGGTGCGCGGGACAAGTAAGGGCGGAGACGGAATTGCCAGTTTAGATAGCCATTGCACCTTCATTAGTAACTGTGAAGCCGCGAAAGCGGGAAGCGTGGACTTGAAGGCTGAGAGCTAGACTATTTCTACAAGGAAGGACGCCTATGAATTACTTGAGCGCGGGCCTTCAAGGTCGCAGAGAGGCCGCACCTTATTGTTTTGAATGAGGGATGATATCTATCAGGTTGACTAGGGAATTGCTTCATTAGTTATTGACAATCTTTTTTGAGCTTTTGGAGGGGTTCCACTTTACAATGTTCACTGGAATATTGAAAGGATAACACCGACAAATCAGCTTCTGCTTGCTTTTGGACCCTACGTGCTGGTTTTTACTGTGTTCATTTGGAGCAAGTTCCAAAAAAAACTTGATAAAGGTTCACCAAGCTTATTGCTCCTCGTTTAGAAGAGATGTGAGCGAGTCAATTGGCAGATGTTTGCTTGGACACACCACTTTGTAACGGTCATACTACTGGTATGGATATACTATGGACAGGAACGCCAATGGTCACCATGCCATGTGAGAATTTTTGAAATAGTTTTTCATAGGAAGAAATGGATATCCTACTAGCGAGTGACTTGAATTTAATTCCATCTAGCCACAATTTTCAGTGGAAACGCTTGCGTCTCGTGTGGCTTCCTCTCAGTTATATGCGTTGGGAGTACCGGAACTGGTTGCAGAAAGCAAGGAGGACTACGTTAACATCGCTGTTAGACTCGGAACGGATAAGAACTAGTGAGTTCTCTTTAATGTCTAGCCTCTATCATAGATTTTGTTTTGAATTTTTTTATTCAAGGATAGTCTTGAAATAAGTCCAGATTGCCCTTGAAATCCAGTGAAAATGTCTTTGCCGTTATTCAGTCCTTTTCGGGATGTAGCATGTATTCTACTCCCATTCAGAATCATAGTGGTTATTGAAAGCGATGTGGCCTATACGGATGACTTGCAGGGGCCAGGGGCCGATGTACAAATCAGTGTTTTCATCCTCCCATCACATTGAGTAGGGTCACCTCATCAACTTTTCATCATCAATCGGTTGCATCTTGTTGGAGGCCAAATGAATCTCTTGATTGCGTTGCTGTTATCCACGTTGGGCATCTCACCTAAACGGAGTCGTCATGTTCCGCACAGGCAGTTGCTTTTGTCGTTTTGTTGGGATTTGGATGTTCTATGAATGACATTCACGCTTTGGTTGCGTTAGCAGCATGCATTTATGTGACAACCGCGTGCGTTTTCGTTTTTTTTTTGGA